AGCTCTACTCCTATCTCGTAAAATTCGACATTCTTAGCCCCTGTCAGTTTGGCTTCCGCTCCCAAAAGAGTACCAACGATGCAATTATTAGTCTCCTTGATACAATTTACTCAGTCCTTGACAAAAATGAGGTTCCGATTGGACTCTTCATTGGCCTGAGAAAGGCCTTTGATACTGTTAATCACAATTACCTCTTACGTAAACTCCATCATTATGGAATCCGAGGCCAAACACTGGACTATATCCAATCCTATCTCAGTGATAGACACCAATGTGTAGCCATCAATAATATAACCTCTCCCACTCTACCAATAACCGTTGGAGTGCCACAGGGCAGCATTTTGGGACCTCTCCTATTTCTTATATACATCAATGATCTGCCTAATGTCTCTAACATTCTGAAACCTATTTTGTTTGCTGATGATACTACCCTCATCTACTCTAACCCCAACCCACATACACTAATAATGTTGTTAATAATGTACTAAAAAAGTTCACTTATGGATGTCAACCAACAAACTAACATTTAACATAGAAAAGACCTACTACATCTTAATTGGAAGCAAATCTACAAATGCAATTCAGCTTCAGACAATGTAAACATTAGCAATAAAAATGATGGAAAGTTTCTCGGCCTATTCCTAGACAAGAGACTTAACTTCTGTACCCACATACAACACATAACTAAGAAAGTCTCTAAAACAGTTGGTATACTCTCCAAAATCAGATATTATGTTCCTAACTCTGCCTTCGGTCCGTCCTGGACCATTCTCAAGTCCATCATCACCCAGCAAAAATCTGCTATCAGAATAATAACAAATTCTGCTTTCAGACAACACTCAGCCCCCTTGTTTAACTCCCTAAACATGCTAAACATAATCTCACTCCACAAATTCTCTTGTGTCAACTACATTTACAAAACCCTGTTCTTAAATGCAAATCCTGCTCTGAAACTCTCCCTGGACAGATGTAATAGGACCCATTATCACCACACCAGAAATAAATATCTCTTTGATATCCCCAGAGTCAAACTTAATCTGTGTAAACACTCTATGCAAATATAGGGACCTAGCCTATGGAACTCACTCCCTAATGAATTGAAAAGCTGTCCAACTTTTGCGTCATTCAAAAACAAAACTAAAAAGTACCTAATTTCATCTTCATAGTTTCCTACCTTGTTGCTTTAAAATTGCACTGTATCTAGTACTCTCTATCTCCCAATCTTTATGTACCCAATCCGAACATCTTTACCATTGTGATCATTGCTGTCTTCTTATATGTACTGTCAATCTGCTGTATGGTGTTTATTAATCTTGTTTAAATTACCAATCAAGCTGTCAATGTAATCAATCAGAGCTTTAATATACCAATGTGCTTTAATATACCTACTAATCTCTCTCATCTCATTTTTTTCTTGCAATGTATCTGTTATCATTTTATTAATTCTGCTAGAACTTACCTACTTAAAATTATCTGTTAGATTAAGGACCTGCACGAAACGCTGCGCGTACTAGTAGCTTTACAAGATTGCAAATACTATGCTATGTATTCTCACAAACCCAATGTACCTTCTTGTATATAAATAAATAAATAAATAAAATAATAAAAAAACATGACCTTGAAAAGAAGTATAGGTTAGGAGTCGTCTCCAAAGAATTTTCAAAGATTTACTCATCCATACTGTCTAAAATAATTAGAAGAGACAAAATAAAATACTACGAAAATAAATTTACCCAAATTAAGGGCAACATTAAGAAAACATGGAGCATTATCTCCCAAATATTAGGTTCAAAAAAGATTTTGATTCAAAAAACTAATTCTCCTATCCAATGAAGATGGTGTGCTTTCGGCCTCAGACACTGCTATTGAATTCAATAGGTTCTTTTCATCCATTGGTACATCCCTTGCTCAAGACATTCCATCCTCACTCACTAATAATAAAGACTACCTTACAGGTAACTATCCAGAGTCTCTGTACCTAGCTCCCGCTACTTCCTCTGATGTTAATGAGGTAATCCTTTCCCTTCAAACTAAGTCAAGCGCCCTTGATGAGATAACATCTCTAATTTACAAAAAAGCCTCCAGATTTCTAGCTCCTGCCATTGCATTGCTCCTTCAACAAATCAATTGAACTCCAAACCTTTCCGGATATTCTAAAAAAAAAAAAGCGAGAGTAACCCCAGTCCACAAATGTGGTGATTTCACTGATGTCAACAATTACAGACCTATATAAATTCTGCCAACCTTGTCAAAAATATTTGAAAAGCTAGTCTGCAAGCAGCTTTACTCATATCTAGCCAAACTAAATATACTTAGCTCTTGCCAATATGGTTTCAGACCCAATAAAAGCACTAACGATGCACTTATTAGTATAATTAACTTGATATATACAGCTCTTGATAACAATGAGTTCCCTGTTGGGTTATTTGTGGACCTACGTAAGGCTTTTGACACTTTCAACTATCAAAACCTTCTTAAATTACATCATTATGGAGTCTGAGGTCATTCACTGCAATACCTTCAGTCTTACCTTACTGACAGGCTCCAGTATGTTTCTGTGAATAATTCCCTTTCTCCGACACTACCTATAAACATTGATGTTCCACAGGGCAGCATACCTGGCCCTCTCCTCTTTCTCATCTACATTAATGACTGTCATGTTCCAAATGTACCATCCGTTTTCTATGTGCGGCGGCTGAGACGCCAGAGAGAGAAGGTCGTAAACGCCCGCCAATACTTATTTGCTGACGACACAACTTCTCATTTTCTCCAGTCCTGACACAACTTGCATTTTCTCTAGTCCTGAACCTCTTGCTCTAAATGTCACTGTGAATACTGAACTAAATAAAGTCCATCTTTGACTAACTGCTAACAAACTCACCCTTAACATTGACAAAACTTTCTACATTTTGTTTGGTAATAAATCCTCAAATGAAATTAATCTAAGAATAAACAATATACAAATCAGTAGTAAAGTTGATGGTAAATTCCTTGGTGTCCTCATCGATAACAAGCTGAATTTCCAGGGACACATTCTAATTATAGCAAAAAAAGTTTATAAAACTGTAGGCATTCTTTCTAAGATCAGATATTATGTACCTCGCCCTGCCCTGGTGACGCTCTATTACTCTCTCATCTATCCTTATCTCAACTATGGTATTTGTGCTTGGGGTTCTACTACCCAAAATCATTTACGTCCTCTAATTACCCAACACAAAGCTGCTATTAGAACAATATCTAACTCTGGCCCCAGACAGTTCTCGGTACCCTTACTCAAATCTCTGAATATGTTAGATATTAAGTCACTGCACATCCTCTCATGTGTACTCTATATATTTAAAACTCTGAAATGTAATGTCAATCCTGACCTTAAAAGATTCTTAGAAGGTTGTAACAGAACCCATGGACACCACACCAGAAACAAATACCTATTTGATATTCCAAGAGTACGACTGACAATCCAAGGTTACACTCAACGGCTCCTTTAAAGGCAGATTCTTCTATTTAGAGACAATTCTATAACCAATGTTCCAGCGATGTGTAAATATTTCATTCAAAACGATCTGCTACCAGAAATTTTAGCCAAATATCCCCAGTTTGCTAACTGTAGGTAGTAACTAAGTGATTGTAACCTATCCACCGCTGCCCACTGGATGGGGGGCGGTGTGCAGGACAAACTTATAAATTTTGACACTAGCTCTCCACATATGTCAGTTGCTTAATTTAGAACCTGTACTTGAGGTCGATCTCGAACCCATTGTTGATGTGACGACTTATATTGAATTTTGTAACTAGCTCATCAAGATTGTAACTTGCTTAGCTAAATGAATTGTGGGGTTCAGTCCCTGAGCCCATTATGTACCTCTGTAACCCTTTCCACTACCGCCCACAAGATGGGTATGGGGTGCATAATAAATGAACTAAACTAACTAACTAACAAGAGTACGACTTAGTCAAAGTAGAAATGCTCTACAAATCAAGGGACCCAGAATGTGGAATATCAATCATGTCAAAGGCTGTACCCCTCTCAACCAGTTTAAGATTAAGATGAAAACTAAGTACTACCTAATTAACTCCATGTAACCTACCTTACCCCTAAATGTCAACCCCATGTCTTACTATTTTTAAACAATGCTGTTTGTTGACCAACTTGTATATTGGCTATTTTCTACCATGTTCCCCCTTTTCTTTTTTTTTCTTTCTTTTTTTCAAGACAATTTATACTTTAAGCTCAATTACTATTAAATTTTAGTCTAAGTGTTTTTTCTCCACCTCACCTTGTCCGAAACGCTATGCGTACTAGTGGCTTTAGGTATTGTATGTACCAACTTTATCTATAAATCCAACATTATGTATAAATCAACTATGTATGTACTTTCCTGAATAAAATTTACTTTACTTTACCATGTACCGTAATCATACCTCGTGACCATATACCGAAATATTAATTATTTGGTACTGTAACTGCAAGTAAAAACTTTATAACTAGTTAAAGTTTACCACAAATATAAATTACTTAACCTAAAACACACAAAACTTCAGTTCATGAAAGAATATTATGTAAGAGAACCCTTGCGGTCCCCGGCCACAGGATGGGTGTGTTGAGCTCCTAATTACTTGATTAACTCCCATGTGCTCATATTAGAGCCGCGAGGCCTTGCTCATTGTTAAACAACAATTTACAAGAATGTAAGAACAATAAAATTAAAGTCGGCGCTCACCACTGGACTACAGGTCCTGAATACACTACGCGCTTCTGGTTGTCATTCCCATTGCCCACTGCATGGGTAAAATATGTATAGCAAATTAGCAAAGTCTGGCTAATTGGATCAAGTTATATTAAATTATTTTAAAAATTTCGGGCTTGCTAGTGTTTCAAATTTCCCGCGTCGATTATTAAAACAAAAATAAATAACTTGTTGCTTTCATAGTTCTTCATGTAAATTAAAACTACCAAAAATTTAGTTTCTTGCTAAAGTCAAGAGATGATATAATTTTATCTCGAACAAATTTTGTTTATTTTTTTAACTTTCAATTGAATGGTGAGAGGAGCAGTGGCCAGCCATCTTGAGTCGAAGGAGCCGCCGAGATGAACACTGCTCGCGTGAGTCTCTATTACCCCGCCTCTCCTCACCTCTGGCACTCATATAATACATCTTGTTATCTTGGTGGTGTACCTGGCACCCTGTGTGTGTGTGTGTGTGTGTACCGTGAGGGACGGTACTGAGGCCTGCTGGTCAGGGGCCGAGCCGGGGGCACCTCAGCCGGCTCACTTATGTATCTTGTATTATGTGTCTTACTTGTATGTATGTATCTTGTATTGTGTATGAATTGTACGTATAATTGGTGGTGAGGTGAGGTCACATAAACGATTGTGTGTATTGTTGCAAGAGTTGTGATGGAGACGGCACAAGCCTGGCTCGGGAGTTCTACTATTACCTGCATATGAATGTTTTAATAAACATTTATTATTATTAACTCTTGATATTACACGTGGATACTTGGCTCTGGCCCCCGGGGCTACACTTGTGTCTGGCCCCCCCCCCATTGCTACGCTCGTGTCTGCCCCCCCCCCCCTTATAACTGATTGTAACAGATTCATCAGTTATAAGGTAAAATCACCAGCATCTGGCCACCCTAGTCAATTATTGGTGTTCAAATTAAATTTTATAGTAGAAAGACAGAAATACCTTTATGAAAACACCAACAAAATGTAAAATAGTTGCTTTATTTAAATTGCATGCCAGTCATTTGTGTAGGTTGTGTTTTATACTAATTGAAATGGTGGTCGTGTATGACATGCTGTACCAAGTATCTGGTCCCCTCAATGTTGGAATTTTGTTTATTTATTTATATATATATACAAGAGTTCTTACATTCTTGTACAGCCACTAGCATGCATAATGTTTCTGGCAGGTCCTTCATCTTATGTTTCCAGGAATGTGACCCACCAAATTGTTTAACAACCAGGTACCCATTTTACTGTTGGGTAAGTAATTATCAAAAGAAGGCACCAAACCGGGAAAGGCTATGTAGCACCATCAAATGTGCGGAATAATCAGAGGGCGCTAAATATCACCAAGGATGCCAATACGAAAACAGAAGTGCATAAGGCGAGCGATATGAAAAGTATCCGATTCATCAAGAATTCTATCGAGGGACAAGCGACCGTGAGGGACGGTCGGAAAACAAGACACGCTTGTCCTGGAAGTCGCAGGTTGCTACTGAACTGGGTTCCCACTTTTCTTCTGTTAGCTCTGGTCTTCATCTTCCCCAATCTTTCCTTCTTCGTAAACCTGTCCTTGAGTCTCGTCCTTTAGATTTCTGCACTCGTCTTCGACTTTCCTATAACGATCCCTTCTCTCTCTCTGAACTTCGTTCTGCCCTGGCCCTCTGCGGTTCTACAGCGGTGGGCTCCGATGGTATTCATTTTGAGATGCTTCGCCATCTCCCTCCGTGCACGTCTCGGTATTTATTGAGTCTGTATAATCGGATCTGGGAGTCGTCGTCAGTCCCTGAGGACTGGCTCGATGCCGTTGTCCTCCCTGTTCGCAAACCAGGGTCTCTGGGAACTTCCCCTAAGGACTTTCGCCCTATTGCCCTCACAAGTTGTGTCTGCAAACTCTTTGATCATATAGTTAACATTCGTCTGATGGGGTTCCTAGAACACCATCACCTCCTCTCCCCTTCTCAATTTGGTTTCCGCAAGTGCCGCAGCACGACAGATGTCCTGGTGAACTTGGAGGTCTATATTCGTACTGCTTTTGCTGCAAGGACCTCCGTTGTTGCCGTCCATTTCGACCTGGAAAAGGCTTAAGACACCACTTGGCGATATCATATTCTGTCCCAGCTTCATTCTTTTGGGCTTCGTGGTCATCTCCCTCTCTCTCTCCGCAGCTTCCTCTCTCGTCGTTCCTTTCGGGTGCGCCTTGGTACCGCTCTCTCTGCCTCTTTTCAGCAGTACGAAGGTGTGCCCCAGGGTAGTGTTCTGAGCACTACTCTTTTTCTGGTTGCACTCAATGGTCTTCTTTCCTCTTCCTTCAGGTGTCTTCTCCGCTCTCTATGTCGATGATCTTAACCCTTTGCTGTCAGGGTGATGATTCGCCTCTCCTTCAGCGCCGGCTTCAACTTGCGATTGATGCCGTGTCGTCTTGGGCCACTGATCATGGCTTCAAGTTCTCTACTTCTAAGACTTGTGCCATGTCTTTTACTAGGAAACGGGTTGTTCTTCGTCCCTCTGTCACTTTATGGTCATCCTCTTGAGTACAAAGATTCCGCGAAGCTTTTGGGGTTATTCCTTGACACTCGTTTATCTTGGTCTCCCCATATCTCTTACCTCCGTGTTGAGTGCTCTAAGGCCCTTGCCCTCCTTCGGGTATTGTCCCATACTTCTTGGGGAGCGGATAGACGCACTCTCCTTGCTTTACATTCCTCTCTCGTCCTGTCTAAGCTCGATTATGGTTGCCCTGCTTACTCATCTGCGCCTCAGTTCTGGTGCCTTTGGTTCGACTCCCGTCCTTAGCTTGTATGTTGACACTGGCTTCCTGTCTCTCCAGGACCGCCGTGATCGCTACTGTCTTCGCTATCTTGCGCGGTCCTTACAACATCCTTCCTCTTGCCTCTGTCGTGCTTTAACTTTTACCCCTCCTGCGGTTCCTCTTCCTCTTCCTCTTCACCACCTCCCTCTTTCTGTCCGGTTATCTCGTTTACAGGATTCTCTTTCCGTTCGTGTTTCTAATGTTTCTCCTCGTGTTGTTCCTTCTTTGCCCCCGTGGAAAGTCCCCCTTCCACAGTTTTGTACATCCTTGACCCGCATCACTAAAGCTTTTACCCCTCCCATGGTTCTAAAACTTCTTTTCCTTGAGCACTTTTCTTCTCCCGCTCCGTTTCTATCTTCACCAATGGGTCTAAGTCTGCGGACAGTGTTGGCTACTCTGTTGTTTTTCCTGATCGCACTTATGTGTGTCGCTTACCTCCGGAGACTAGCATCTTTACAGCAGAGCTTTATGCTATTCTCTATGCTCTTCGTCTCTTGCTTTCTCGTTGTCAGTCTTCCTTTGTAGTTGTTGTTGACTCTCGTGGTGCCCTCATGGCTCTCGGGTCCTTTAATCCGGTTCATCCAGTCGTTGTCGAGATCCAGCATTGGCTGTTTCTTGTTCGCAGTAAATTTCAGTCGGTTGAGTTTTGTTGGGTTCCCAGCCATATTGGCGTGTCTTTAAATGAGCATGCAGATGCTGCCGCCAAGGAAGATGTCCGCTCTTGTCCCATCTCTCGTAAAGGCATTCCGTATTCCGACTTTTACCCGGTTATCCATTCCTCAGTCCTTACCCGTTGGCAGGCTTCTTGGTTGTCTGTTACTGGTAACAAGCTACGTACTCTTAAATGTTGTGTTTCCTCGTGGCCGTCCTCCTTCCACCGTAACCGGCGGTGGGAAACAGCTCTGGCGAGGTTGCGTATTGGCCATACTCGCTTAACCCATGGTCACTTGATGGAGCGCCGCCCTGCTCCTTATTGTCCTAGTTGCATTGTACCTCTTACGGTCGTGCATGTCCTTCTTGAATGTCCTGACTTCCAGGATGAGCGTGTGTCTTGCTTTCCGACCGCCCCTCGCGGTCACCTGTCCCTCGATAGAATTCTTAGTGACTCGGATACTTTTGATATCGTTCGCCTTATGCGTTTTTGTTCTCGTATTGGCATCCTTGGTGATATTTAGCGCCCTCTGATTATTTTGCGCATTTGATGGTGCTACATAGCCTTCCCGGTTTGGTGCCTTCTTTTGATAATTACTTACTTACTTACTTCCAGGATGAGCGTGTGTCTTCCTTTCCGACTGCCCCTCGCAGTCACCTGTCCCTCAATAGAATTCTTGGTGACTCGGATACTTTTGTCATCGTTCGCCTTATGTGTTTTTGTTCTCGTATTGGCATCCTTGGTGATATTAGCGCCCTCTGATTATTCCGCGCATTTGATGGTGCTACATAGCCTTCCCGGTTTGGTGCCTTCTTTTGATAATTACTTACTTGTCCTGGAAGTCAGGACATTCAACAAGTATATGCACGACCGTAAGAGGGACAATGCAATTTGGACAATAAGGAGCAGGGCGGTGCTCCATTAAGTTAAGCGTGTATGGCCTATACGCAACCTCGCCAGAGCCGTTTCCCATTGCTGGTACGGTGGTAGGAGGATGGCCATGAGGACACACTACTCTTAGGAGTACGCAGTTTGTTACCAGTAACAGATGACCAAAAATTCTGCCAATGGGCAAGGATGGAGGAATGAATAACTGGGTAAAAGTCGGAATAAGGGATACCTTTAAGGGAGATGGGACAAGAGTGGACAGCTTCCCTAGCAGCAACATCCACACGCTCATTTAAAGTCGCCAATATGGCTGGGAACCCAGCAAAACTCAACTGACTTAAATTTACTGGAAATAAGAAACAACCAATGCTGAATCTCGACGACCACTGGATGGACTGGATTAAAGGACCCGAGAGCCATGAGGTACTGTTGAGTAAACAGAGGCTACAGTTAAGGATTGACGCCCAGTAAATCCTCCCCGGCCAGGATATGAACCCAGGACAAATTGCGTGCGAAAAGCCAGGCGAGTGTCTTAACCACTACATCACGGGGACTGCTTGTGCCTGGTGGCTCAACAGGCACGAGTAAGTTGATCCAATACATTACATGTACAATACAATACAGTACAATACAAGTTAAGCAAAATAATTGGAAAGTAAGACATGCCCCATTTTAAAGGGAAGTGTGCCATTACAGTATAGATATAAATGTTTTATGGTGTTTCATACATGGTGATAAACATGTAGTATTTTTCCCTTCAGTGCTTCATGTTTATTGTTTTAATCACTAGTGTGTGTTTTATAGGGTTTTTGTTTTGGCCAATGTGGCTGGATATCAACGACCTTATCGTGCCGGAAAAGTAAGTTACACTTAACAGTAGTGAAATGGATAAGCATCATATTGTGTGAAGGCTTGTATGGGCTATTTTTTTTAAATGCTACCCTATTTAAAAAACAATTGAAAGACTGCAGCCTGCACTGCTCTGAACATTAAGCATTGGCTTATTAGTCCTACAATATTTTTATTATAAATAATTATATTAAGTTTCTAGGTGCAGATATATTGGCATGTTACAAACAAAATTAACTTTTGGCACAAATTTTTTTTAATGTTAGCTTTGATTGTACTACAATTTAACACTTGACTCACTTATGAAGGTGACTGCATTATCATAGCAACTTTGAGCAATGTTCATGTAACCTACGTGTTGTGACTGTCAGCCAGTGATGCCAAAATCCTTTGCTTGGCAGTGACCCAATTTAATACCTTTACTGGATGCTTTGGCATATATTGAACAGGCACCAATGTTATGCTCCTTGTTTATTTAATTGGTTGCTTTGTCAATTTGCCACTGTTAGTACTTTATCCCAGATGTTACTAATATTGGTGTGGTGAAGGAAGGGTTTAAATTGTCCTCCCTGGGAACTACAGATAATGTTGCAAGAAAATCATCTAAAGCAAAGAAGTTAAAATTATTTGAAATTTAAATGAAGCCTTTCAATCTAAAATTAATATTTTAGATTTTTTATTATACAGTATACAGTTGTATATAAATTGAGGCTTGGGTATACACCTGTACAACTAAAATCTTTAATGCAAGCCAAAATGCATTCAAATTTTTGTGTAATTTTTTTTTTTTTTTTTTTTTTAATTTGAATATTATTTTTAGGCACTTGTCCGAACTTTTGCCACCGGCTCGGTGGGAAGGGCAGTCAAAAGTGAAGTCCATCCAGGATACCAGAAGATCCGTGCAAAGATGCTAGAGTTCCAGGTGAGTGCCTTTTACCACACAATTGTTCCTAAAATAGTTTTATAAGGAAGCACATTATCTATAAATGATTAACGAGTAGGGTGTAGTTTCAAGAATATATATGTTTGTAAAGTGTATTTAAAATAAAGAATATTTGAAAGTTTGATAAAGGCAGAGCTGAAATAATATAGAAACACCCAACTGCTGTTGAGGAATCATCAGCAGTAGAAAAAAAAATATGTATCAACTTTAGAATATTTTCTTTCAGGTTGACAATGGTCTACCAATCCACCTTAAGGGGGGTGCCACAGACAACATGCTCTTTGTCAGCACGCTGATTGTCAATGGTATAGGCTTGGCCATGTGCTTACACTTCTTCTATGGCATGGCATTCCCAAAGAAGAATTAAGAATTGACTTGACTACCTCATGCATTCATTCCACAAGTCTGAAATGGCAATGCTAAAAATTTAATTGCCACGTATTTATTAATGAGTGATGTACATAAAAATAATTAATAACCTGATTAATAAATGGAAGTGTATTGCAACTTCATAAATTGCTGAATGGAATGTTTTATTTACATGAAATTTCTTTTAAATTTGTAACTTCATAACCATCCCAAAAAAAAGTTTACTCAAGATTCAAATACTGTATTGGTACATTTAAATGTAATTTCAACATTTTTTTATTTGTATTGCAGAGAATCATTTTCACTTTGGTGTATTGTATTGGATAATATTTATTTCTCATCAGTTATAGGAAATATGTACAGTATTGTCATCTTGATCATTTTTCCTGATCCAGATTCTTATCATTGCACTTAAGTCCGCTTTGGATTGACCAGCTCTAAAACTGTTGAAATATTTAATACCTTTATGCCAATGGAATAAAGTATGGACATCAATAGTTTTACAAATTAGTCTTAGCAAGAATGTTAGGCACATAGTATAATTTATTTAGGAATTATCATGGCTAGAAGTATTGTTCTACTGTCCTTTGACATTAAAGTTTAAAAAAAAATGATACCAATAAAAAAAGGACAAATAATTCGGCTATTTTTTTTATATTATAAATATTTAATTGAAAATTTTATAAATATCAGTATAAATGCTATTGGTTGCAAAAGACCCTTTATTAAACCCTGTATAAGAGGTTTGAACAGTGCACTGCAAAAGTAAATAACATCTCCAAATGCTCTGACATAACTCATGCATTCCTATACATATTTATTATTAAATTCTTTGTATGAGTGTACTTGTACTAAAACAGTTGTATAATATTCAGAATGGTGTGATATACATACAAATCCCCCCCTCAATATAAAACAAAACTATCATACAATTTAGTATATACTGTATATGAAAATAGTACATTTAGACATTCATCTGGTATTGCAAGAACGTGTGACCATACCTGCTAAAGTATGTAATTATTGCTTCTACAATACTTTATGTATTTATGTAACTACTACTGTCCTGACCGTATGTTTAATATTACAAATGACACGAGTTTGTTCTATAAACCAGAAATAGGTCATCACACAAATACATAGGTCTTAGAGTAGTACAAAAATTAAATGGCAGCCCTCGGTGCCAAGACCTAGTCTACTGTACTTCAAAGCCACATATTGGTAAATGATATAAGGCTACACAAGAGGGATGATACATGGAAAATAATAAAACTGAGTGTAAAGTACTAGGGTTAAACTTCCATAGTTTTCATACAGCATCACACCACCTAGATTTTATATATATATATATTTATATATACTTATATATTTATATATCACACACACACACACACACACATACATATACACACACACACAAGGGAGGTACACTGGGTTTGTAAGATCACATAACATTGGTATTCTTGCAAAGCCACTAACATGCATAGCATTTTGGGTAGGTCTTTAATCTAATGAGCCAATACCCCCGGAAGAGACTAATCAAGTGACAACTAGAGAAGCTGAGCATGATAAAAGCCAAACTGGATTTCAACATGGATACTAAAATAGGCTGCTGTATCATTGTGTAGAACCCACGATAGACTGGAGAAAGTTAAAAGGTTTAGAAAATAACTAATATGGTATCTATATATGTACAAGACAGTCGGAAGGCAAGAGCCACCGACTGATATCACTAACAAGTATTCGCTTCAAAGATTCGACCAAATGAAGCACGTGTTATGCCAACCTTGTAAAAATAATGAATTATAATAATTAGCCTCTGTTAAGACAGATGGGCATGTCATTTAAAAGTCCAGACTGATTAGATTAAGTAATTATCAACAGGTGCCTAAGCCAGCAAGACTAGCACTGTGTATCACAGGCTATTCAAATGTGCTAAATACCACTCAGGATGCCAATATGAGCAGACAGGCAAATAAACTGAGTGACAAAAGTATTGGATTCCCAAGGGTTCAATGTAAGAACATTAGGAAAGCAAAATATTGAAAAAAAAGAGGACATTTTACAAGGAGGTGCATAACTATTCATTAGACTAGAATACTACTGTTTATCTTGGAAGGTCAGCTAAAGGGCAATTAGTGCTCGGTTGACTCCTTGCCCAGGGCTCAAACCTGTCCAAGACTGCTGACTAATACGCAGGACAGTATTATATAAAAAGAGGAGTATGAAAGGTGAATAGTATCATGAAAAAAGTAATGCAACTTATGAGTTTAAAAATAGACCGAGAGATAGTACTATATATTACACACTCAATCTTGACATCCTCCAGGGAGGAGTATAGATATATAGTAGAATTCTTAAAAGCAAAATTAGAATCACAGTATAATTTTCATGGGGGTCTATCACTGAAAACTACATACACTGTATTTGGATTTATACAGACACTTTTCTTTTTATACTGTACTCTTTCCAATTATTGTTTAAAATTTCTATTAGTTACTAGTAATAACTATCAAATATAGGAATTTTGTAATAAGGTCAATACACATTATTGCTGCTCTGATATCTATATGGTTAAAAACAAAAAATCCAACTGGACAGAACAGTCAATCTAATTGACAATACATGTCAGTTAAAGCAACTACAGTATCAATATGAACTGATACTGTTCAAAAGTCTGGTTTAGACTGACCCTTTTTGAGAGAATAAAATACTGTAGTGTATACACTTCTGATTTTATAACAAATTGATAAGCAGCCATGTATGAAAACTACACAAATTAGAGCATCCGAAACTTTAAACAAAATTTTAACTTGTCTTAAAATAAATGTCACTTTTTCATAATGTGGAGTAAGATAAATATAATGACACAAGACACTATGCATATTTCTCAAAAACATATTCTTGCAAACCCCCAGACATGAGATCCTTTGCATGTTAGTATACTTATGATGGCTTTTTATTAAACACAAGGCTCCAACCAAGGTTATTTCTCTAGTAAACTATCTTGTCACTTCATATAAATTATCATTGTTGCAGGATTCTCGATGAAAGATTTCCAGAGATTTGAAAACTGTGCCACAGTGGTTCCCTCGATAATGCGGTGGTCAGCGGACCAACTAATCTGCATTATGTGTGCTTTTGTTACTTTACCTTCAGCATCGAACCTCGGCAAAGTCTGCAACAGGAGGAAAAATACATTAGTCTCTATACTTTGTAATAGTTTATATCATTTAATCCTTTGTCTGAGAGATGTGATGGTGATCAAATCAAGGAAATGGAGCCTTTTAGGTGACATGCAAGCTTCATCCATGTTCCTAGAAATTATTTCTCAGTCTTGTAATATTTGCCAAGGTACTCTGACCTTCAAAACAAGTGCCTGGACCATTTAAATTATGTCACTTACTGGCAACCAAATCAATTGTCACCCCCCTGCTTGATAGTGCAGAAAATAAGCAATTATGCCACCATCAAAACCTTGCAACTATTTTTGTGATTTGTTCACATAATTAATATACTTGGTTTTGTACTTTTAATGTTCTGTAATAAATGGATACAGTATACAGTAATTTAATTTACTGTGTCGGGGAACAGGAAGCCAAGAGTGTATCCATACATGTTTGGCTTTTTTTCTAGGTCTAGCCCACCCCCCCCCCCCCTAAGGACTAATTACTGACCCCACCCAGGATGCAACCCCACAACAAGCTGACTAACTCCTAAGTACCCACTTGCTACTAGGTGAACAGAGGAATTAGGGGAAAAGAAATGTGACCAACTATTCCGGGTTCGAAAACAGGGCGGGATTCGAACCCGGATTCTTGATTCTGCATCGAGAACAAACCCGACTGTACTACTGGAACCCCGGTAGTACATACATAGTTCAGTACAGTACAGTATATATTTAAATTTAAGCAAAAGGATGATGCACCCCCGACCTGACCAACCAAGCATCAACAACCCTAGGACTCCTCCGGAAAGCAGCCATCTCATTCTTCGCCAGAAAAGAAGGAGACGGCTACAGACGAACAAACCGATCGCCACGACCGAAAGAGCAGAAACCCCTGCGCCAGAGGAGAGCATGAAACTCCCCGACCCAACCCCCCAGAGGCCAATGGCAACAGGAAAAGAGCCTTTGAGAAACAATCCTGAACAGAGAGGGCCACAACAAACCGAGAAGAGAAAAAGGAGAGCACTTTGTCCAATGACCAGGATTGCTCAGGCGGCGCATGAGCAGGCTGGAGGTGAAACAACGCACGAGACAGCTTGCAAAACGGCGCAGAAGTAACATCAATACCGAAAGCAAGCTGAAGAGGCTCCGCCAGCGCTGCACGATATGAGGCGATAGTATTCGGCATAAGATGACAGTCCAGGAACACCCAAGAGAGAAAGGACAACACCCAAACTGAAAGTGGAGCACAACGACGAAGAGTCAAAAAGAACCAGAAGAACCACCAGGAAACTTCATACTGCAATCGAGATGAAGCCTGCAGATAAGACACTAACAAGGAAGCCACCTGATCACCATAGAGATGATGATAAACTCGAGTAAAAAATACCACATGCAAAGACTGAGAAGATCGAACCAGCCACGTGACTCACCGGTCCGATCTGCTGGAAGAGGCGGAGCCGCAGGAAAACCAACGGGTACGGACACGGAGCAAGCAGTGCCTGAAACCACGGCTGGATTGGCCACCACGGGGCCAAGAGGACTACTCTTGTACGGTACATCTCCAAGCGAGTCAGGACCTGGAGCAACAGCTGAACTGGGGTGGAAAGAGGTACAGGAATCTCCACCTGGACCAGTCCTGCCAAAAGGCATCGAGGGGAAGGGCGCCACATACAGCGGCATACGCCGCTAAGAGGTCCACCTCCGGGCACCCGAACGTCTGGCAGAGCCAATGGAAAAAGTCTGCGTTGACCGTCCATCCCACGGACAGGGGAACAAAACGAGACAGACCGTCCACCAAGATGGACACACCCCGAACATGAACCGCCAGGAGAGCCAAACCCCCGAGAACTCAGCAGACGAGTCACTCGTCTGATGAGATGACGTCTTCTCACTTTGAGAAGAGGCAGACACCGCTTGCTGACATGCGAGCCGGGAAGCATAAAACAGCGAAACCGCATCCCGCAGGATCGGCGCAAACAGCTTCAACAAGGCAACCGATGATCAAGCTGCCGAGCCCAAGGCACCAGACCCAGGACAGCCCCCAGCGCCCCACATTCTCCTCAATCCAGTCCGGAGACAGCTCCAGGAGGGAAAAAAAATGCAAAGCCGAAGTCAAGAGGCCGCGAGCGCGCAGGTCCTCAGGGACCTGCACATGGAGCTGCACCACGCCAACATCCCGAGGAAGGGCAGGGGCAAACAAGCACTCATTGAGGTGCTCAAACTCGCCCCCCAGGAACCTGAACCACCATCGAAGCCTCGTGCCACTCAAGCATATGGGAAAAACAGAAGGAATGCCGAGCCTCCAGAGCAAACACAGGACAGTTCGACAGCCAGGATGACTCTGGAACCTCGTAATGGACCCAGAAGGGGAACGAAGACCCAAACTAATGAAGACGGATCCATAACAGTGGCATACTTCGGGTCACACAGGAGGTAAGCCGCAAGGGCCGCTCACACCACAGGAGGTTGGGTGCGGGAAGCCGAAAACCTCCAGAAAAACGGAACCGACGGAACACTGGGGGACACTGAACCAAACCCGGGGAGGGGCAGACACCGAATCCAATTCATACGCAGAGGGGAGGGGGAGGAAAGAAAACCCCACTCCTTGTAATAGTAAGCCCCGCTCAGAGGGCAGTAAAACCCAGGTGGGGTCTTGTAAAAGTAAAACCCAGTAAAAAGCCCAGTAAAACCCAGACTTGGGGCCCAAGACCCCAAGTCTGCCCCCTCCCCAGCCCCAGGATCCTCCACCGCAGGACCCTGGGCCGAGTCATCACTCAAAGCACTGGCCTCAAAAGAAAAGGCCAGCGCAGCCGTCTAAGCCGGATGGAAGGGGGCCCACTGGCCAGACCCGGAGGCTTTGGCAGGGACATCAGATTCGAATGCCTCTGTCACCAGACCGGAAGGGGCATCCCCCGAGACTGCCCGAGTCTCGAGACCATCTAAACACTGCCCTGACTCCGAAACCCTCAGACGTTTCAGGGCCGGAAACAGGGGAAGGGGGGGACCAGAACGAGCCACAGCAGGGGAAGGACGAGGAGGTGCAGACAAACAAGGCCAAACTGACCATCAACTCCAAGTCCGAGTCCCCTTAAGCAAAACGGGGCAGCCTTGGGGCATCCGGATGAGCAACCAACCTAGCACGTTGCAACAACCTAAAGCGCACATGCAACGCCTGTGCCGCCTGTACCCACAGATCATCATCATTAGATTGGGTAAACTAAGTCACCAGCAAGCAACAAAACTCACAGGACTCTGGATCAAAAGTGTCACTGACCCAACAGGCAGCGTGATGGAGGCAAAAACAGTGAGAGTCACCCTGAGACAAGGGGACAGAGCAACCCTCGAACTCGGACAAAGTGAGGGGGGAGTCGGGGCCACATCCATTGGACCCGTGAGCCCCCATCATTAGATTGGGTAAACTAAGTCACCAGCAAGCAACAAAACTCACAGGACTCTGGATCAAAAGTGTCACTGACCCAACAGGCAGCGTGATGGAGGCAAAAACAGTGAGAGTCACCCTGAGACAAGGGGACAGAGCAACCCTCGAACTCGGACAAAGTGAGGGGGGAGTCGGGGCCACATCCATTGGACCCGTGAGCCCCCGTGGGGTTTCCCAGGGTCCTGAGACGGAACTCACTCTCAGGAAATCCCAGGCAGAGTACTGCTAAACAGTGCCCAAAACTACCAAGCAATACTAAAGCTGAACCCCAGGAACGTGTACACTCACAGGGACCTAGCAGGGGGTACCACCAGAAGATAGAACTGTACCCAGGTCAGGTACAATGGGGGCAACAATCAAGGCAGACCCCCACCAGGCAACACAACAAAAATAAAAATAAAACCCTGCAAGTGGACAGCATACCCAAAAGGAACAGAGCCGGCCGCTATGAATGGTAAAAACAACTGCGCAGCACCTTGTGCCTCTTACCAGTGCAAACTGCCTCTTACCCTAAGGTAAACAAGGGAGACAAAACACCCAAGCACCCAAAGGGCGGCCGAAAAACTGAGCAGTAAAACGGCCCAGCAGAGGCATGACCCAAGGAACTTGTGGAAGTTGGACCCAAGCCCCAAGGGCAGTACTTACAGGGCACCTAGGGAAGGGAACCCTAGGCGCATGCAGCCCGAGTACTGTAGAATAACTCCTGGCTTGCGTCCCCCTGGAAGACAGCCACCACACACAAAGTACAGTGCTGGAAAAATCACTGGAGCCAGAGCACATGACTTCTGCTTCTAGCATCAGCCTTAGAACTGAAGGGTGGATGGCCGGCCCGGCGACGTGTGACGCTATGCTCGTTTCTTTTTGGGGAGTTCTATCTACTTGTTTGGCTTTTTGTAGCAATTTTCAGCAGAACAGGGGTTTGTTTTGGGACGCATACCTTTCTGGGTGACTGACCCGGTCGATGGCAGACACAGAATGCTTCCAACCCCACGGGGTTTTTATAGGCCATTGCTTCCCCATGCCTCTATGAGGGGGCCAGGTTCTGGCTCGTGGTCCCCGGTAGGCCCACAGAGCTCCATACACATGACTGATGCCAAAGTCTGACATTTCCATATCAGCCTGCATAGCTCTGGGGAGCCGAAGGGGCTCCCACCAGAAAAGAGGCGTTGACAGAGAACACAGGCGCCAGACAAGGTCTGCTCCGCCCCCCAGTTGCCAGGCGGGAGTTGTCACAAAGACATTATTACCTAATTATTTCAATGTCTCTGACTGATTTTTCTTAGTTTTTTTTTTCAGTAATATTATTCAATAGTGTGTAGTGTGATATATTTATGTAATAAAATCTACCAGTTTATTTAATTTACCAGTCTCCGTGGTGTAGTGGTAAGACACTCGCCTGGCGTTCCGAGAGCGCTTTGTCCTGGGTTCGTATCCTGGCCAGGGAGGATTTACTGGGCGCAAATCCTTAACTGTAGCCTTTGTTTAACTCGACAGTAAAATGGGTACTTGGTTGTAACAACGATTCTTCGTGGGGGTCGTATTCCAGGGACCTGCCCATAACGCTACGCGTACTAGTGGCTGTACAAGAATATAACAACTTGTATATATCTAAAAAAAAAAAAAAAAAAAAAATGTGTGAACCATCACTACAGTATACTCAAAATTATGATGTGCATATTAGTGATTCAATTATTATGTTCATAAAATGATAAACAAATAGTTTGGTGTTATTACACAGGTTATATATAAGTATCTGCATGTTTTGGTAATGATAAAGAACCACTAAGTTGGGATGGTGAGTCAAAAAGCAAAGAATAATGGCCGCCACACACCAGCCAGCCAGCCACTGGCCGCCACACCCTTCCTCACCTCCTCACTCGCCAACATTCTCCTCCCACCATACTGTTTTTGCTATTATTCACTATATAGAGATGTTATATATAAGTATCTACATGTTTTGTTCACCATAACTGTACATCTAAGCTTGTATGGTTAGTTAAGGCAATAAGAGACGTAGCTACACACACAGTCAGCTGGTGGCTGCCTCCCTCACTGATTCAAGGCCAGATGCAGTAATATTTCTCCTCCAACAATACTGTTTGTGGTTTTATTACACTATACACACACATTAAATATAGGTATCTACATGTTTTATTCATCATAACTGTACAAATAAGCTGGTATGGTGCCCAAAAACCATAGTGGTACCTTACACAACATGACATGTCATGCAGACGGTGCCACATTCCTCACCAAAATGGCTGCTCCAAACATACTCCTTTTGCTGTTATTACATTATATACACATGTTATATATAAGTATCCACAGTTGTGATCACCATAACGAACCACTAAGCTGGTATAGTGGGTCCAGACAGTAAAAGGTGGTCACACAGAGTCAGCAGACAACGCTACCTCCCTCCACACACCAAGATTATTCCTCCCACTACAGTGCTAATTACCACCACAATCCTGCTATTATCAGAATCCTGGTCATTTTTATCACAGTCAGAGGTCTTCTGCAATACTATCATTGCTAAATAATAACATGTACATATATATTTTGACATTTTTAGGCAATGCTGTGGTCACAAGCTGAACAGCAGTGCTGTGAGCTCATGCTGCATGCACCAGCCTTGGTGGCTCACTCAGAACAGAAGCTCTTACACCAATGATTTTTTTCCTAGGTGGTGCCTGTTTAGTTCCAGCTATAGTCCATAGCTGGACTATAGCTGCCCCTATCCCTCGCGAGGCATTTAAAATCATGCGCTAGACCCTCGATCGTATATGTACATGTGTATTGCATGGTTTCCGGAAAGTTACTCCCATCGGATGTGTATGTATTGTGCGGGGTTAAGGATTGCTTGTCTGGTTTCTTTCTAGGGGAGTTAGTTTGATCTTTTAGGAGGTAGATTGCACAGGTAAACCAGACAGTGGTCTGTTTTGATTCACCTACCTGTCTGGATCCTTCCCCAGTCGATGGCAATTATGACATACTTTAAATGTAAAGTGCTCAAGGCCATTGCTCCCTGCACCCTTCTGAGGGGAACCAGGTTCTGGCTCGTGGTTCCTGGTAGACATAGGAACTCTTGTGACTGATGACCCTAACTAATATAGTACATATCAGTTCGGATAGCTTCAGGGAGCCAACAGGGCTCCCTACAGAAAAACTGAAATTATTATGTGCATTGCAATGAGTAACAATACAGTACACTATTTAGTTTGATATTGCAGTTCTTTATACTGCAAACTACAGATATAGAGTTCTAAACTAATTATGTGTACCCAATGTGGAATTTATAAATATTAGTGAAAACAACCTACCTGAATCTTGCCAATAGTACAAAGAGCAACTTCTGGAGGTCGGATCACAACTTTAGCAGAGGTGCCCCCAATCTGAAATAAAAATATGCTGTTCAAAAGTTGACTGTTTTGGGCTCATGACAAATTTTTTTTGTGGTGGGGTGCAGCATGACTCGGTTTTTAAATTGTTACCCGTTTACCAAATTATTATATACAGAACTTTTAAGTTACTTTACATGGAAACCAAATAATCTCTTAATTATCTATGCTACTCATAATTAGACATCTTGACACATACTCTATAACTCTGGTTTTTCACAGTGGCCATTTACAATAATGAGCAGCTATGGTCATTTTCCCCCCACATCCTTGCCTCCTAGTCTGCCATTATCCAGTAATGTGGCTCATGCAAAACCATCCAAGACAATTCCAACTTAGTACAATGCCATACATTTCAACCAGACAGCTATGACCTGTTTTGTTACCATGTTGTTTAGTTCATGTTTTGAGTTTCATTCATTCTTCCATCAAAGAACAGTCTGGGTTTTTCTGTGGGGAACCCAGTCAACTCCCTGAAACTATCCGAACTGGTATGTGCTATATTAGTTTGGGGTCATAAAACAGTCCTTATGCCTACTGGGGACTATGTGCCAGAACCTGGCTCCCCTCAGAGAGGCGCAGAGAACAATGGCCTATGAGCACCTCACATTTAAAGTACTGAATGTCATAACTGCCATCGACCGGGGAAGGACCCAGAAAGGTAGGTGAATAAAAACAGACCACTGTCTGGTTAACCTGTGCAATCTACATCCTAAAAGATCAAAATAACTCCCCTAGAAAGAAACCCAACAAGCAACACTTCATGCAACGAGCACTCTCGTGCGTCAGTGCTATTCCCCCCATGGGGGGGGGGGAGCAGGGAGCTGGTAGCGCACCACTCCAGTTCTTGAACCGATGTGCTGGTGGTCAGATCAGTCACCTCTGGCCTCACATTCCTGTTGTGGGCTTTTTTCCTTGTGTGTCTGTTCCAGCTGTGTGTGTGGTGTGGTGGCCAAGCATCTTAGTGTATGCGCTTAGGGTGACCTTCCCTAGATCCTCTGTGAGTACTGCCCTTGTATATCAGGGTTATCCTCCCCGAGGCGTTCGGGAATCACCTGGTTGATACCTGGTTGATGGGGTTCTGGGAGTTGTTCTACTCCCCGTTTAAGAACTTCATCGCTTGATGTGAAATGTTAGGGGGGGCCCTGACGGATGAGTGGACAGTGCTCGGGATTCATATTCCTAAGGTTCCAGGTTTGATCCCTGGTGGAGGCGGAAACAAATGGGCAGAATTTCTTTCACCCTGATGCCCCTGTTTACCTAGCAGTAAATAGGTATCTGGGAGTTAGACAGCTGCTTCCTGGGAATGTGTAACAAAAAAAGGAGGCCTGGTCAAAGACCGGGTCGCAGGGATGCTAAGCACCGAAATCATCTCAAGATAACCTCAAGAGAAGTCTTTATCAGTCTCCGTGGTGTAGTGGTAAGACACTCGCCTGGCGTTCCGCGAGCGCTATGTCATGGGTTCGTATCCTGGCCGGGGAGGATTTACTGGGTGCAATTCCTTAACTGTAGCCTCTGTTTAACGCAACAGTAAAATGTGTACTTGGATGAAAAAACGATTCTTCGCGGCAGGGGATCGTATTCCAGGGACCATAGGATTAAGGACTTGCCCGAAATGCTACGCATACTAGTGGCTGTACAAGAATGTAACAACTCTTGTATATATCTCAAAAAAAAAAAAGATAAGATGTTGTCTTCGCCCTTGTGGTACGTCAGGGGTCTAGGGTTTCCCCGTCTTGCCCCGGGTAGGGGAATGTTATTGGCTGGGTGGAGCGCATTTGGGCTGGCGCAGCTGGCTTTACTTTAACCCTCAAACCGCGCATATCATATAAAATGATATCAGTGACAAAACCGAAACCGCGCACATCATTTATATATGATTTCGTGTCTAGCGCTATAATTTAAACGCCCTGCCTGGAATAGGGGCAGCTATAGTACAGTGATAGTATTACTGAAGCCCCCTGACTGTGATAAAACTGACCAGGATACTGATAATAGCAGGATTGTGGTGATATTTAGCTCTGTGCTCCACGGAGGGAGGAGTAAGGCTGTGGAGGGAGGGTTGTGGTGTCGTCTTCTGACTGTGTGTGGCCACCATTTATTGACTGCACTCACCATACCAGCTTAGTGGTTCGCTATGGTGAACACAAATGTAGATACTTATATATAACGTGTGTATAGTGAGAGATAACAGCGAGAGGAGTAGGTTGGGAGCCGCCATTTTGGTGAGGGAGGAGCGTCGTCTGCAGGACTTATCATGTTGTTTACTGATGACCACGATGGTCTTTGGGCACCATACCAGCTTATTTGTTCAGGTATGGTGAATAAAACAGGTAGATACTTATATATAATGTGTGTATATAGCGTAATAACACCACAAACAATATTGTTGGAGGACAAACATTAGTCCGTCTGGCCTTGAGGGCGGCCGCCGATCAGCTGACTGTGTGAGTAGCTACGTCTTTGTGGCCTTTACTCACCATACAAGCTTAGATGTACAGTTATGGTGAACAAAACTTGTAAATACGTATATATAACGTCTGTGTATAGTGAATAAATACAGAAAGAGTATTGTGGGAGGTGAATGAGGGTGAGTGAGGTGGTGTTGAGTGAGGTGGTGTTGAGGGAGGGAGTGGCAGTGAGTGGCTCGCTGGTGTTTGGCAATCACTCCTCGTTGCTTTTTGACTCACAAGACCAACTTAGTAGTTCGTTATGGTGTACAAAACATGCAAATACTTATATATAACCTGTGTATATAGTGTAACAACAGCAAAACTATTTGTTTATTGTTTTATGACCATAATTGAATCACTAATATGCACACCATAATTTTGAGTACAGTGATGGTTCACACATTTTATAATATAAATATACCACAATTCACTGTATGGAATAATATTACTGCAAAAAATTTAAGAAAAAATCAATCAGAGACATTGAAATAATTAGGTAATAATATATTTGTGGCAACTGCCGTCTGACAGCTCGGGCGGAGCAGACCTCGTCTGGCGAAGGCTCTGCCAACGCCCCTTTTTTGCCACACTTCCCTACCCTATTGCGGCTAAAATATGCCACCTACGATTTTTTTGTTATTTTTTCCGTGATCAGGGAACAAAAATGAACACTTCTATAAGACGAAAGAATTTTTTGGATTTTTTTTTTGTTGCGCCTGTGGGTGTGAATTCCATTTGGGCCCCTAGCGGTTTGAGGGTTAACACAGTGGCCGATGTTTCTCTCTGACTGCCAGTTTGTTGTGTCGTCGGTGGTTTGTGTTTTCCTTTTCATTCTCTGGCATTCTCACCTTGTTTAGACAAAGGAGGTCTGCTTAGCTTCTTATTAGGTGAGCCTAGGTTGTGTTGGTAGTCCTCCTCTGTTACCCCTGGGGTTTCATAGCTGCTACTGATGGTCAATTTGCCTGCTACCTGACAAGGTTCTACCGGCTTTGCTGGCACCATTTTTTTTTTTTTTTTATTATTATTATTTTCTACCACAGACGTGGCCACACATTTACAATGCTAACCAGAATATATACATTTTCTTCTGTCCTCCATGGACAGGGTTAGAGAAGTGTTAAACATACAGTTCAAGGGTTTATTGAACACTCAACCACAGAAGGTGATTCGGTGCTTTTAAAATGCTAAGCTAACCTACATACGTAAATACATAGATACACAGATTTACGTATGTCCTACATAAAGTGTTAGATGTGTCTTTTACATAGTGTCATTAATGTACATTCACAAAGGTGAAATGTAATTCTGATCAGCTTCCATATATACTTTATACCCATACATATACATACACACACACACATACACATACATATACACACACACACACATGCATTCACATACATTTGTCTCATTTACCCTGACAGGGTGAGGTAGCTGATAAAGAAACTAGTGTGCAATTAAGCACTTAATCACTGAAGGTGCTTTTACAAGCTCAGGTTATATAGTTACATCATATATATACATTGTATGATTGATATATTACATGGTCAATTTTGGATACAAGTCCAATATATCATCAAGTGTTCCAGTACTCATATAGTAACTACAGAGTTCAGCATACCTTAGCCCAGGAGGGCGAAAGTCAGTCAGTATGGGACATTCTACAATATAATGTTCAAGAGAGTGCATGTTTTCTCTTTCACAAAGTTGACACATTGTGTACTCGACATTTGGGTTTTGAGAAAGCTGCCAGATACGTCTATATCCCAGGCGTATTCTGGCCACTATAACATCACATTGCCGGGTTCTTGTTCTATTAGTCCCATATGTGAATGTCTCCTCACGATATCTATCATAATATTTAATGCTACAACTTTCAGGTCTTTGAGAATTTGTTAGGTCGGTGAGATTTTCATTAGATATTTGTTTAAGTATTCTTTGTCACTGCTAGTGAAACACCCATATCAATTTCTACCACTGGTTTTCTGCAGGCTGTCTTAGCAAGCATATCAACAGTGTCATGCCTTGAGATGCCAACATGTGATGGTATCCATAGGAATTTAATCTCAAATCTGTTTTCTTTGGCAGCTAAAACATTCATTCGAATATCACTGACTATTTTCTGGGTGTCACTGCTATGTGCGTTCAATGCCAGGAGTGCACTCTGCGAGTCACAGTATATAAGTCCACTGCCTTTGTCTTTTAAAAATTCAGTGGCAAGGTATATGCCTGCAAGTTCGGTTTGAGTTGTACTTGCCCAGTCATTGACGCGCTTCATTGCTGTATGTACGAGAGAAGATGGTTCAAATATGTTACATGCACATCCGGTACATCGTCCACCTTCTTCTACAGAGCTGTCGGTATAGCACTGATAAACATCGTTACCCATACTCTGAGTACTTTCAGTGATGCTTTTCAGTGTTAACTGTTTTAATAATGTAGTGTGCACACTATCTTTCTTGGGCGCATTTACAAAATCAACTGATAGATCCCAGTTATCCCATGGAGTAATTGGCTGATTAATCATTAGTGGAGTTGGGT